TAGAGGCCCTTTGAAGTTTCAATATTCTATTACTCACTGAAACTAAAACTACCACACCCATAAAAGGAAAGTTACCTTTTTTTTTTCTGGCCCACAAAGAATTTCCCATAAGTTGTGAGAGTGAAAACTTACTGACAGCAGTTTTTCCAATTCTCTTTAGTCTATAGTCATCACCAGGTGCCTTCTATGGGCAGAGGCTGTCGGCCCAAGGCTTCGAGATGTTTTTGAATTAAGTTTTATGTCAGGACTCGCACACAACAACACAGAAGCTCCCCAGTGTACCGTCCCTACTGGACGCTCAGCATGAAGATCTATGCTACCCTGTTTCATTCTGTTTATCCTGTCCAATCTAAATAAAAATGTGGTCCCAATCCACTGGACTGATCATTTGAAGAATGCTGCTGTGGAGTTCATGGCCGGGCCAGAGCCTCGGGGAACCTCAGCACCAAGGAGAGGGCTCCACAGAAGTCAGGCGGCTGGCAGGAGCGCTCTCACCGTGTGGACTTGGTCAACTGCACAGGGACAGCAAGGGGCTCAGAACCCCGAGGAAGCAAGGGGCATCACTCATGGCCTCATGGCACCCATGGCACCCTCCTGTCCAGCGCCTGGCAGATTTTGCAGTGCTGAGAGGCTGGCAATGAATCCCTCCGAGGGCTGCCTGCTACCTCTACCATCCCTGGCCCTCACCTTCGGACCATGTCCTCTGGCTTCTGCTCGGGCTGACCCTCAACCGAGGATCCTCCCACCTGTGCCCCGGGAAGCCTCCCCTGACCTGGGCTGGCCAGGCGCCTTTTTCGCTGACCTTCTGTTCTCACACGCAGGTCCGTCACCCGCCCTCTCCTGCAATCAATCGCCTGTTTACCTGTACAGCGACCTGTACTGGTGACTGAGTGATGGCTGGCCGGGTGGTTAGGGATGCCGACTGCACGCAGCCCATTGGCAGGCACTGGCACCCTTCTCTTCTGGGTGACTCTCCCCTGGACTTAGGTACCCTCAGGGTTCATTTCACCTGGTGCTGATGTGCTCACACAGTTTCAAAACCAGAAAACTGTCACGGATGGACACAATAGGCAGTGTTTCATGGTCGTTTCAAGCCCAAAATTCATTTTTAAGTGCAAAAGGATAACTTAAATCCTGAAGATCACCTTTTAAAACCAGATTTGAGCTCTACTGTGTAATTTGTGGGTGTTGGGGGCCTGGCCACAGGGCAGCCCCTGCAGGGAGCAATATGATCAGGCAGGTGGGCGGGAAGAGACCTGGGCGAGCAGGCTGGAGAGGTTCCTGCATAGGCTGGCAGATGCCTGGGCCCAGAGAGGAGCTCTGGTTCAGGACTGGGTCTGTAGAAAGAACTGCCACTCTGTCTGCACTTGTATTATTCCCAGAGGCCTCCACACCACATCGGGCCATGGAGGGAGCAGAGTTCAAAGGCCGAATCCCCCTGGATATAGCAGCAGAGCACCAGCCTCCTGGGGACCAGTTTCCCGGGGACCAGCCTCCTGGGATCAGTCTCCTGGGCATCAGCCTCCTGGCACCAGCCTCCTGTCACTAGCCTCCCGGGACCAGCCTCCCGGCACCAGTCTCCCAAGGACCAGCCTCGTGGGACCAGCCTCCTGTCACCAGCCTCCCGGGACCAGCCTCCCGGCACCAGTCTCCCAAGGACCAGCCTCGTGGGACCAGCCTCCTGTCACCAGCCTCCCGGGACCAGCCTCTCAGCACCAGCCTCCTGGGGATCAGCCTCCTGGGACCTCGACCATAGCCACTGACATCATACAACACAGAGCTGGTTTTGGTGCCTCTTCCTTCTCCATACTCAGGGTTATGGCTCATAAATCTCCCATGCTCCTAGGAGAAAATTACTGCCTACTCTACGGTGCCCAGGAGCTGCATCAACCCTGACTTCTCTGTGGTACATGCGTGGAAGGGCCTGGGTGGAATTTAGCAGCACTGGTGCTAGGAAACTGCGCCACACTGAGGTGTGTGTCTCAGTGGACATGGGAGCGAGGAGCTCACTGTCTTTTCCCAAAGAAAATTTAACAGAAACAGACTGCAGAATACTGCCGAATGCTTTAAAAAACCTTTGCCATAATTAGACATGTGTACATCTATGATCAAGTTGCCCAAAGTTAGGAAGCCTGTTCAGCGTAGTCATGGCGGGCTGGGGCGCAGGAAGCAGCCTGCAGGGAGCGTGCTGGCCCCAGCCCCCTAGCCCAGCCCAGCCTGCTGGTGCAGGTCACACAGGCTCACTTGCTTCTGAGCAGTGGACAAAAATGACCATCATCTCTGCTCTTCTGCTACAAATGGCAGCTGTAGATGCCTTGGGCGTTGCTGCAAATTGGGAGAAATTCAAGCGGGAACACAGACGGGAAAAATGTTCACAGGTGGTTTTATAGACAGTGCTTGTCTTTGTTGGTTACGAGAGGTGGGAATGAAAAGCACACACAATGTGTGCGAGGGCGATGCGCTGCTCCGCTGGGGTTTACTGAACCTCTGGGCACGAGCTCACATGGCCTCACAAAAACCAAAAACCACTTCGCCTCCTGCCTGGAGTGCAGTGTGGACGGCTCCCTGTGTGTCCACAGCATGTGCCCAGCCCCAAGCGTGGCCTGCGCACTTCTGCTGCCCACAGAGGCTCAGGAGCTGCCAGGGGAGGAGGAGGCTGAGCCACTGTATGTGCAGCTTCCCCTGCATGGCAAGGCGTCCCTGCATGGTGCCTTTCATCAAGAGGGATGTTGGGGTGTCCTCTGGACTCAACTGCTCTTTGCTGATATAGGACAACTGTTAGAGGGCATAAACCGTACGTGAAAGCGAAATAGTTGCAAAGTGTCTAATAGGCAGGCTAGGAACAGACCCAGCTGGTGTTCATTAGCTTTACACTTAGGTGGGTGACGGGGAACAGCATTGTCCTCCATGTAGATTCCTACAGGACTCAATGTCATAGAAACCCACTCAGCAATGGTCGTATTGAAGCCAGTCCCATTTGCTTCACAAACTAGAGAGAGGGAATTCTTGTGCAAAGAACCAGAAATGCTGAAGGAACTATTACGGCCCCCACTTTCCAAGTCTGCCCCGGTTGTTCCTGAGCAGCTGGGAGGAAGGAAGAATGTTTAAGTGAGAGGGTAGGACTGTGAATCCCACCTCTCCCTCCTGATGAGACCCAGCCACATCTCATAACAAGAGCTGCAGGGCAGAAGGGAACAGATTCAAGACTGAACTGTTCTTCAAACAGACACAAAACACAGAGCAGCTGTGGTGCTCTGTGAGGCTGCAGCAGACCTGAGCTTTGCTAGCTGCATGCCTCTGCCACACCAGTCAGCACAGGAACAACCATTGCTCTGGACTGAATAACACAGGAAGTGCTGAGGCCCTGCGGAACTTGGTGTGGCCCATGTCTGCAGCATTCCCGGCTCATGCAGAGGACGGGGGAGCAGGGCCTGCCTCCAGGGTGATGGGCAGAGAGCCCGCCAAGTCAGTGCTGTGTTTGGCAAGGGCCTCGAGAAAGAGAGAGAGGCTGTCCCTGCCTGGAACGCACCATCTAGTGTCCAGGGTGCCCATCTAAGCCCTGGCTAAGACATCCTGATCCAAAGACTGATTTTATATGGAAAGATGTCAAAAGACCCACAGAATCAGTCAAGCCAAGAGAGAACAATCCCTAAACCGTTCAGGCAGCAAGGCCAATACACAGAGTGGCTCCCTGCCCAGGACCCAGTCCAACGCCCTAGGGATACAGTCTCAGGCAGTGCGTGGGCCCTGAGCCCTGGATAATTGCTTATTGGATTTCACATGGACGTCCAAAAACTTCATGTAAAACAAACAGCAAAATATCTCATCAACAATTTGAAAATACAGGTTACATGTTGAAACAGTAATATTGTGGATATTGGGTTTAACGGAATAGGCTATTAAAATGAATTTCACCTTTTAAATTTATTTTAAAATTAATTTTACTTTTTAAAAATGTGGCTACTAGAAAATTTACAATTTGATTTGTGGCTTGCATTATGTTTCTGCTGGACAGCACTGATTTGGAAGTCTGGATTCTCATCCTGGTTAATCTAATATCTAGGTTGGTGGCAACTGGAACAAGTTTCTTGGACTCAGATTTTCTTTCTTTTTCTTTCTTTCTTTTTTTTTTTTTTTTTCCCGAGATGCAGTCTTGCTCTGTTGTCCAGGCTGGGGTGCAGTGGCACAATCTCAGCTCACTGCAGCCTCTGTCCCCCAGTTTCCAGTGATTCTCCTGCCTCAGCCTCCTGGGTAGCTGGGATTACAGGCGTATGCCACCATGCCTGGCTAATTTTTATATTTTTAGTAGGGATGGGGTTTTGCCATGTTGGCCAGGCTGGTCTCAAAACTCCTGACCTCAGGTGATCCACCTGCCTCAGCCTCTCAAAGTGCTGGGATTAAAGGCTTGAGCCACCGTGCCTGGCCCAGATTTTCTTTTATGAAATCAGCACTTCATGGCTAAAACAATAGCTAAAAAACGCACCAGCTATCAGGTCAGCATTCTCCTGTTCCTTCTCATTGCTACTCAGGAAATAGGCCTGTCCCATATGGTTTAACAGGTTGTGGACTGCACAAGGATGACATATTAAAGGGAGTGGGTGCTATTCACACTGCACATGTAGATTTATATATTTATCATTACAATATCCCAGCACATGGCAATAAATATCTCATTCTAACAAAGTGAGTATATTACAATGATTTTACAACAGATGGAACTAAGGCATTTTCAAGAGGGGACACCTTTTTCCAATTTGCATGAGAAATATAGCTGGACTTGCATTGGCCCTGCCAGCACCCAAGGCCTGCCTGATTCCTCTCCAACCAGCTGCTGTGGTGGTTCGGCTCCCTCTCTGTCACACGCCTGGTTCATCTAGGGGCAGGCATTTGGTGCCCAAATTCAAGCTTCCATTGCACAAATGCCACTGCCATCTAGTGCCAAAGAGTTACAGTAAGCAGCTGGCCTCGAGCTCAGGGCTCGTCCAGGACGGGCCTCTTACCTTTTCACTTTTCTTCTCGTCTAGTTTGCATCCTGTGTTGGTGGGGCTGGATGTGGACAGAACACCGATGGGCCCCCCTCCAGCCTCCCCGTTGAGGTTGGCGGCACTGACGTTGGGAGGTGTGATGGCTGATGCTGCTGATGTGAGGGGGATGGCCGGCCGCGGGCACATCTGCACTGGGGGCTGGTGGCTGTGCTGCGGGGACACCACCGAGTGGGGCCTGAGGCTGGTGGCAGGCAGGCGGGATGGAGAGTTCTGAGTGCGCAGGGGTGACACGGTGGCAGTTGGCCGGTCCTGAGCCTGGGCTGCAGAGTGGGCAGCTGGAGACGGGGTTGGAGAGAGAGCAGGATGAAAGGTTAGTTTGCAACCTGCCAGGCCTGCCAGGCAGCCGCAGTGCACGCTCTTCTCAGGCTCCCTCCTCGAGCCCTCACAGCCTCTCTCTCACGTTTCTCCAGACCTGGCCACTTCACAGATGGAAAAATACGCCAAGAAACCCTGAACATTCATTCCTATCTTCCAAAGCCCAAGGGATCGGGGGGCCCTGCCACGGCTCAAAACACCCCTTTCTTCAGGTGGAGCTCAAACAGCTTTGCCAAGGTCGCCATGAATATGGGCACGTTCCCAGTTCTACGAAGTCCTTTCACTCAGCGATCCCCAACCATTTTGGCACCAAGGACCCGTTTCGTGGAAGTCAATTTTTCCACAGACTGGGGCAGGAGAGGGTTTCGGGATGATTCAAGTGCATTACATTTATTATGTACTTTATTTCTATTATTACTACATTGTAATACATAGTGAAATAATTATACAGCTCACCATAATATAGAATCGGGGGACCCCTGCGCTTGTTTTCCTGCAACTAGACAGCCCCATCTAGAGATGATGGGAGACAGTGACAGATCATCAGGCATTAGATTCTCATAAGGAGCGTGCAACCTAGATACCGCATATGTGCAGCAGGGTTTGCACTCCTGTGAGCATCTAATGCTGCTGCTAATCTGACAGGTGGTGGAGCTCAGGTGGTAACGCAAGCATTGAGGAAGGGCTGTAAATACAGATGAAGCTTTCCTTGCTCACCCACCACTCACGACCTGCTGTGCGGCCCATTTCCTAATAGGCCATGGACCGGAACTGGTCTGTGGCTTGGAGGTTGCGGACTCCTGCTCTAACTAATTTTCTCTGCTGTGATGAGCTAAAGCACTCAGAAAAATTTTGAAAATATGGTTTTGAAATATGGTTGTAAAATGCTCATAAAACTAAAGCCTGTGAAAGCATCTCAGTGAGGCCTCAAGATGTCCCCTGAATTATTAAGCACCACTGCATGTAAACCGATCAAGCTTGACTCCAGTTACTCTTGACCCCTGAACCGGCCCGGCTGGTCCTTGGTTTCCACACTGGGTATGTGATCTTGCTGAGTGAGGGCTGAGCCTATGAGAGCTGCCTTGGCCGGAGACAACCGCAGGAAGAAAGCAGCGGACATTTCTCCCAGCAGCAGCCTGGAGGAGAAGCCGCCCACCACCCTGCTGCCATCTGCCTGCATCCGCTGCTGTGCCTGCATGTCGAAGCTCTGGGCTTCCAGGTTTACAAAACTGGAACCTTACAACTGTGGATCCACCACCTTGCTGCCAGCAAAAACAATTCTTAAAGATGTTAGGGATTGAAAGTGGTAACATTTGTAAAAACCTCCCATATGAAAAGATACAGCTCCCTTTACACGCAGCACCACATTCATAGTAATTCTGCTACTATGTGTGTTAGTAATTTCAGGGAATCGTCTCCTTAATAAATATGGATGAAACAAATGTTGGGAGAGAATGAACGTCCCCGAGGGAATGGTGACTTTTGTCCTGGGTTGTTCTGGCCCAAGTGGAGACCTGGGCTGAGCATCAGACACTGCTTTATACCAAGTGGCCCAGGCAGCACCACGCAGCTCACATCCAGCTGCTGTGCATTCTTAAGGCAGAGAAAAATTATGTCATACTGTAATCATTTTCTACCAGCAGACTTTGTGGCATTCATGGCTTCAGAGCATGAAAGAAAATCCATGCAATAAAAACAATCTTCTCAGCCCCCAACTATGCACTCGTTAATCCTAACAGCGTTTGGAGGCCACGGGAAGTAGCACTGCGAGGCGTACAAAGCTCTCCATCTGGGAGTCGGACCTTCTTCTGACACAGCCGTGTGTGAAGCGCTGGTGAGATCTAATTATGTGATCCCGGATTCTCCGGGAATTGGGCAGCTTGCTGCTTCTACGAGATGAAATACAGAAGGGCTGATTTATGCGTGGTTTTTTTTTTTCCTTTTTTTTTCTTTCTTTTCTTTCTTTTTTTTTTTTTTTTAATATTCAGGGCTTCAGCTGGGTTGGAAACTTGAAATATTTGATCCTCACCCAACACAGCTCCATATTTACAAGGAGAGCAGGTCAGGCAATCACGCAGATCCAGGGGCCTCAGGTCATTTAATCACCCTGAAAACACTGACTCGGAGGCCGCTCCTAGAGATTTATTCATCTCTCCCCTCAGCTGGCTGACTCCCCTTCCCTCGGCCCAGAGTCCCTGGAATGGGGTGACAGCCTGCCAGGGAAGCGCTGTGGCCCTTGGCCTTGGGACTGCACCAGGGTCTGCGCCCCTGGGCTGTGCATGGCTGGCCTCTACCTCCTGGCCGGCTTCCCCTTGCCTGCCACACTACTTTGCTCATCCAGGCACCAAAGAAGAGACAGAGTGTGTTCCAGCAACCTCCAACCTCACCTCCTAATACCCTCCCCTCAGCCACACTGGCCTCCTGGCCACTGCCAGTACGACTGGCTCCTGGTCACTTCAGAGGCACAGTGCCAGCACCCCTGCCCACAGACCTCACCTCCCTCAGAGCTGCAAGGCGGGACCCTCAGGTGCCTGGAAGGCTCAGATACCACCTTCTAGAGACCTGCCTACTGCCTTCACGGTGCTGCCTGCCCTCTGCAGCCTCAGCCTCCCCTGCTCCTGCTCTAGCTCCAGCTTTCTTTTGCCCGCAAGGTGCTTAGCTCCTCACAGTTGTGTAATTTACATGTTCACTGGAGGCTGATTGTTCATTGCCTGTCCCCACTGCAATGGAGCTCCATGAGGTAGGGACATGGCTGCTTAATTCACGGATAACCCCCGCAATGGTGCCTGGCATGTAGAAGGTGCTCTGTACATTTTTTGAATAAAAGAGTGAGTCTCTGAGAAAAAAGAACCCCAGCCACGTCACTTCCGATTTCACAGAATGGAACCACTGGAGAAGAAAAACTGTAGTGTGAGAAAGCAAGGCAAAGCTCAGGTCATGATACTGGCTGGTGAAGAGTGTGCTCATCTCTGGTAGGATTTACCCTTATTTTCACCCACCCGGGGTGCTCCCACCCTGAGCTGGCTAGGACTACTCGTTAGTGATGCCAAAGTAGCCCACACCTTCTTTGAAGTCAGGCTGACAGATGAAGGCTGTTTACGAAAGCACCAACCATGCTCCCTGCTTTTCCCTTTCCTCTCCTCTTTAAACCTTTGGTGTGTTTCAGTCCCATTACAGCTGCCCCAAGGACTGAGTCCTCACTCAGTTCACTGTATGTCCCTAGTATCTGTAGGTGCTTTATAAATGATAGGGGAATGAATAAATGACCTATTGCATCACCAGCTTTGTCCTTTCCTTATTTTCAGGGGTATTGCTTCCCATTTCAGGGATGAAATGGAACTCCCACAACTCCAGGCCAACCCCCGTCTCCACTTCCCCACACCCCTCCCTTCCAGTCACAAGGACTCTGGGTCCCACCAGGTCAACGCCTTCACCCACATCCTTGATACCTTCGCTGGCTCATCCCTTCTCTCCTATATTTAGCCTCTTTATTAGCTTTTCCCCCATAATTTATTAACCAGTTGTCTCTCCCATTTAATAAATAATATTCCTTCTATACTTTGTCCTCTTTTAGCTAGTACCTCCTTTTCCCATTTTTCTTTACATTTAATATTTTTGAAATAGTGCGTACACTGGCTCTTTCTTGTATTTTTATTCATTTCTATGTAAGTAATCTGTATCTGCCCTCTGGCAGCTTTTATAGTATTTTCTTTATCCTTTGATGCCTGAAGTTTAAGTTCAGCATGTTTAGACTTGGATTTTTGGTTAGTTTTCCTACTCAGCACTCTTTGTCCTTTCTGTGTGAGAACCTGAGCCCCTCTTCAATTTTGGAGAATTCTCAGGGACTACTCCTTTAAATCTTCTCTCTGTCGCACCTCTTCTGTTTTCTGGTTATGAAAATCCTGTTAGAAGTAGTTTGGAGCTCCTCAATCTATCCTCCATGTTTATACATCTCCTTCATATTTTTCGTCTCTGCTCTGTATTCCGGATAAATTCCTTTGTATGGTTTTTCAATTTCACTAATTCTACTTTCAATTGTGTCTACAGTTTATGCTACCTACAGAGGTTTTGTATTTAAACATATATTTTTCCTCTCCAAAATTTCAAATTGGTTCTTTTTCACATCCAGTTGTTTCTGATTCATAGCCATCCACCTATTTTTTCATAGCTTCCTGTTTTTATTTTTTTGTGTATGTTATTCCTTCTTTTCCTCTTAGATCTTAAACATACTGATTGCAAAGATGCTCTCAGATTTCTCCCGTATTTTCCTCCCATCTCTTGAGTTTATTGGCTAACTTATGTGTGAGTTTCCCTTTTGTGCTTTGAAATCTTAGTGTGCCAGCTCACCCTGAGCTTGCAGCTTTTTGTCTACTTTTCTGGGTCTGGCAGTTCTGTTGTTAGTGCTGCTTGGCCTCTGGGACCCTCCCTCAGAACTAGGTTTAATGGGCTTCTGGGAGTTCTGGTCCTGCAGGGAGGGTGTTGAGCTAGTCCTAGTCCTCAGGACAGAGCCATCTTCAGCACCATGACCAGTGTTGGGGGCTCTCTCTTCTCTCTTTCACACCCCAGGTGGAGGCTTAGTATGGCCCATCCCCTGGAAAATGATGGAGCTGTTAGAACTGGCACACCTGGCTCTGGTCCCCTGATTCTCACAGGGCCTTCCTGTCCATATTCTCCTGCAGGAGTTGAAAGTCAGCCAACAAGGCCTGCTTTTTATCCTAGAGCCAGTAGGTCAGTGCTTCAACACTTGGCTATTGTGTGTTCCATTTTACATAGATCATAGAGTTGACTTTTTAAATATTAAAAACAAACATCTTTACAATAAAATCACATAAACTTAATTATAGTAGTTTTATAAGAAGTCTCTAAAATCAGTGTTAGCCCTCCCACGTTCACTGTTCTTTTTCATTTCATTCAGCTCAAAATGCTTTATAACACCCCTTTTGATTTGTTCTTTAAAATA